ACAACTTTATTTTGTGGCAAATTTCACACAAGTTCATGACTAAACAGACCATAATATCAATGTCTCACCAAACTTCCCCCTGACAGGAAAAAACAATCATATGTGGGCAGAGTATTTTTAGGACTAGCTCAAATCTAAAAATACAGAAAGATGAAGTACAATGCAAACTAGAATGTACTGTGCTCAAATGTGAGTATAGAATTTGTGATCTTTCTAAGTTTAGCTAAATGATGTTTCTAAGTTTAGCTAAATGTCTTCTACAGGTAAAAGAGACTGAAAGGTAAGAGCAAAAATGGAAGGAATATGCTGCATAGCTGAATGACTATTGAATCTGTTTTGTTTTTGTTTATGATACATGGAGGGAGAAAAAGTAGTTTAAGTAACACTAATCCAAATGAAACCCTAAACATTGTCTTTGGCAGAGAGTCTGGTGGAGTTTAATGCCATACTGTGGAACAATCCTACACCAAAAAAAAAACATATTTTATATTTTAGACCGATAACCTTAAAATTAAGTCTTTTTAAAATGTGTTTTTAATGTTAACTACATGCTCAATAATCTAGTTTTATATAACTCCAAAATCACCATTGTGATAATTAAGGCTTGAGTTTGCTGATGCAACTCTTGCTCTTACTACTGCTGAAACAAAAATTGCTCAATAATGGGGTAGCATCACAATACAACGTGTCTAGAATCACACAGTCAAACCACCATAAAGAAATTCCTAATACACTGAGCCACAATACACAGAGTATATCATGACTAAAGAAAGCTATTATTTGCAGATACTAATTGTAGGGTGGTCTTAACAATACTAGAGATGCACTGATCTAGATGTTTCTGTTCCAGTACTGATGTTGATAAATTGGCTATATCCGATATCAACCAATACAGAGCAGAGACTGAAAATATATATTATTTCCTTTAAACACAGCATAAGGTAAAAATTATCCAAATATGTTTTGTAACTACAGAACAGCTTTGTAAAAATACAATTTATTACACCAATGTATAGACTAAATTGGGACATCGTCTGAACCAATATCTTGGAATATCAATATCAATATTTGACCCACCAAAATTTTCAATATCAGCATCCATATCTAAAACCAGTATTGTATCGGTGCATTCCTAAATAGTACAGGTAGACTAAGACCTCTAGGTGTCCCTATTTGAGCAAGATGGTTTCCTCTTTCGATCAGAAACAATATTCACTTTAGGTCACCGCAGGTCCACAGCGCAAGCTAAAAAGGCCTGTTACAAAAGAACAAAATACAGTCCCTATACAACAATGTAATTGAATGAGTATGCAAGCTGCTACAGAGAGGGCAGAAGCAGCAGTTGTCGCTAGTGTCCCAGTGCAGCGCTCCAACCTGGTCTACTGTGTTCCCATCATGCATCATCTGGAGGGCCGCATGTCTGCTGGGCCCCTAAGGAGATTAATTAGCGACTCAGGCTATAGCTGGAGGAGCTGCTGAGATAGGCACCAAAACTCAAGTCTCAATGATAAATGACTATGGCTACAAGCTTAAAGTTCAGCTTTTTCACCACATACGAAAGAAGGCCGCAACTACGTCAAACCAAATCATATGAGAGGAGTGCTGCATTGTTCCTTACTATTTTAGGCACAATACATTCACTTACCTCTGTTTTAGTCATACACTGCAATATGTTAAGACCCTCTAAGTCTATACAAGCTGAAAATACATAACAGTTGGGAACAAAACAGTTTGGGTTAATAATGCAATACCACTACTCAGAGATGGCAGACACTTTAGTCTGTAGTCGTGTTAGCACCGCTGCAGTAACCGGGCAGAGGTATATAAACACACACATATTAAAATTGTATATAATCCTCTCTGTGGCATTCTACAAATGATCAGTCTTGGACTGGTCTCACTGAGTTACTGAACTAAAACAAAAATTACTAAACCATCCAGGGGATTTTGGGATTTCCTATGTCTATAATTGAAAGACATGGTAAGTCTTGGTTTAGTTCTGGTTTAGAGAACCATTTTAGAAGGACTAGGAAATAACTATGTCACTTCACTTAGACAGGTTGGTAGGCTCCAACTTGCATGCAAAAAAAAAAAAAGCTAATTTTCTTTTATCGGGTCAAAATTCATTATTGTCCATTACTTTGAATAGTCTGTCAGGGTCACATGAGAGTGCAGGGCACATAACATAACCAGACTACTCAGGGCTGAGGCCAAAGCATTAAAATGAACTAAATGAACTCAACCTGGTTTGACACATACTCAGAATAATACTCCCCACTGCTTCTCCCGGTCCCCTCATCATTATTGTCTGTAATGGACCAATCTCCAGCACAATCACACTGTCCCCATGTTCACACTTAATAAAACAGGAGATGGAGCACTGGCTGTGATTACATTTCTGAAGGACCATCACAGGAGATGAAGAAAACATACTGTGGGATTATCACCAACTGTGAGCAATAAATTGAAAACTTATGGTTATAAAGGTATAGAAAACTGTTAGCCCATAACAAATGTAGCCCTGGTGAACAATATGTTAAAAATGTAATATGCACCCCAAAATTACAGCAAAAGTTAAAAATGATTAAATGTAATCTCACTACTACTACTACTATTACTACTGTTACTACTACTACTGCTGCTGCTGCTTCTACTATTATCACTATGAAATTACTTTTACATTTTAAATACCGGTATGTTTTGTTTCACCACTGACTGAGACTGCCTAAGCTGTGTGGACTGATCTAAATAGATACATAGACAATAATGAATAAAGATAGGCTTTTAGCATTCGTGCAGGATTTGGACTTCAGCTGAGTCAGATGGCCGAGCAGCAGTTTGGTTGTAGTAGGGAATAAAGTGGCTCTCGATTAGGCTTCAAGCATAATGTTCCCGCCCAGAAGACTGCTGACTGCTCCACTGGACAATTGAGTATAATAAATCAATTTGATGTTTCGGCTTACTCATGATGATCCTACTAACACACAAAACCCCAGAGCAACACATGCATGCACTTAGCATAGTGTTACAAAGTCTCTTCATGAAAAGACAATATCAGTCTAAAATAGATCTACAGTATCTTCAGGATGAAACAGCTCTAGTACACTTATCCCTGATTCTTTGTAGAACAGAAACCATACACCTCTGTCATTAAAATGATTTTTTAGTTTGCCTATTTTTAAGTTCAGTGACAGATTATTTTTGAAGATCACATGGCAATACATTTAACTCTACAGAACGTCATATTAGTCATTAGAACTAACCATCATTTCTTTACATTCATAACTTGTCAATGTGTCCTTGGGCAAGACACTTGCACACATTCTACATTAACACTTAAGGTGAGTGCAAGAGGCAGATAATGGTTGGAGGGGCCAGTTGCACAGATTGACTCGCTTCTGTCATTCTACCTCAGGGCAACTGTGGCTACAGAAATCACTCACCACCACCAGTTCACCAGTTCACCACCAGTGTGAACTAAATAAATTATTATTGTAAAGAGTCTGGAGCATATTTAACGGCTCTATATAACTCTGTATAAATGTGTTTGCCAAAGATGCTTTCTACACTGTGTTTCACAATAAAACCACACATCATTTGCGTTCAGTTCTTGCAGTACAAAGTAGGGCGGAGGCAGCTTGGTGTTTGTGCAGAAAAGAGACTTTAAATATTGAATAGCAGACACAGGCCTCGCTCTCAGAGTCCATGTGATGCACTTAGGAGCCCTGGGCCACACATTGATAGCTCTTTGAGAGCTGCTGAGTTTGTGCAGCAGAAAGAGACAGTGATTATAGGAAATAAACATGTAAAGTGACTGCTACAGTCAGCTAACTTTATTATTGTTAACTGTAACATATTTCCTATGAGTTCTGTTGTAAATATTTGCTTGTACTGATGCTACTTCTACCAATTTGGACATGATTAATTTTGTTTAAAAAATATATACACATTTTCCATCAACAGCATCTGCAAGATGATTTCACAAATTTCTCAGACACAGACAAATTTCTCCAAATGTAGGTTGTGTTACAACAACAATATTACAACCAACACAATACAAGAAAAATCTATACTAGATACAAAAAGCCTTGCATGCAATGGGACACACTGGCCAGCTCAGTCCAGAAGATGATACCAAAAAGTGGTTTGACACTGAAATATGACAGAGAGGGTGAATTATTAATGCACAGTGATAGTGCAGACCATGTGCAGGCAAATCACGCGGATCCAGGGGTGCAGAGGAGAGCCACGTGAGCCCTGCTCCCCTGTCCTCACACAGGTCACACATCCAGCAGCCCTTTCCGCCACACCATCAACAAGCCCAAACACGTTATTACTGACCACTTTAGCCTTGAATACTACAGATGAAAAGGCCCTAAACACTTAAGGGACCCACAGGGGAGCTACAACTGCCAAGCAAAACACACTGACAGATCCTACACCACAACAGTCCCCACTCATCCAGAAAACACCACCGCACACCACCTGCTATGTTGTTTTTCACACCGTTTTGCACCAGCTTTTCTCAGACAGATATTGAGTGCTCTTGAATGGTAAAAATACCCTGGCCTGGAAAAACAAGGAGTAATAATGCAATCCATTTCAACCATATGAAATCCTGAATGTACAAAACTTTCAAATTTATATTTCAAACTCAAACTCAAATAAGAAGCCAGATAATAAAGTAATAAAAGAAGCAAGAATATAAGCCATGATAGAAGTGGATCACAATTACAAAAAGATCATAAAAAGTTGCTAAAACATTTCACAACTGGCATCCTGTGAACCTAGAAAAAACGTAAATGAGTTTGTCCTAGAATAAAAACATAATTAGAAAACACATGCTTTGATTAGCTGGTCTTGCATCCTGGACTGTTAAATGCTACATCATTGGTGAGGAGGAAAAAAGTTGTTAAGTAGTTAAACATTTAACATAAAACAAAACAAAAAGTTGGAAAGACAACATGTAAAAATTAGAAAATGCTGGCTAGGCATCCTACCTGTTTGGCTGAGTTGAGAGGTGCTCCGGCTCTTGCGTGACATGCCAACCATGGCCTGCATTTTGGCACCAATACTGGAGCGCCTCTTCTTTTCGTCAGTGCCTACCGTACCAACTGCTGTGTCTGACTGGCTTCCGTCCGTCTTCTCCAGGTTACACATATCACCGCTGATACTTGTGCTCTTGGTCATGTTCATCCCTCCGGACGAGCCCATCTGCCTGTTTTTCATTTTGGATGCAAAGTCACTGTCAGCCAACCCGCCACAGAGGAAGCAGTAGGACAGGGAATAGACAGGGGATAGAGGAGAGGGGAGAGGAGGCCCATGGAGAGCACCGTGAGGAAGAGGAGGAGGAGGAGGAAGGCGTGAAGGATTTAGGACAGGGACAGGAGAACCAGGAAGTGAGGGGTGGAGAGGGACAAAAGGACAGAATTCAGGTAAAATTTTTCATGACTTACAGTATAGTCATTGTGGGAGTGTGGAGATATGTGTGGGCTATGAGCATGCAGCTTATTGGGATGATCATGTGTCTTAACAACTATAGAAAAAAAGGACTGATTTGAAATCACAAAAATATATTATTTATGCCTATATCTATGTCTATAGTTGTTTTCATGTTGTATTTTGTGCAATTCATTGCATATACTATATGTAAGACGATCCTTCTATGCATTCAGTCCAATTTGCTTCTCATTTGTACATGACTAATATACTTAAGTGGAGCAGGCACCAGGAGTAAATCAGTTCATTTTTACCTCCAAATGTCCCTTAAGACCTAAAACTGTCACAGAATCCAGGCTAGGGTCAAATGCTAATTGGATTTTTTCTGAAGCAGTGATCATTCTCAGTTAAAGTGTGTGCTGTACGAGTATCAAAACATGATCCTAAAGGTGTATTGTGTAATTTCTCTGGTGGAGAAGTCCATCAAATGCTTTTCTCTGTGGAGATGTTGTTGCTTAATAGATGCTCTGTTCAAACCAGACAAAGTTACAGGTCAGATTTGTGGAGAGGCAACCCTGCTCACAGCCAGTTTCTGTTTTTCTAAGTCTCTTTGAGCTATAAAACACCTGTAACTGAGTAAATGTAAGGTAGTTGTTATACTGTGGAACATTCCAGGCAGAGCAATAACATATCCAAAAAAGAAACAAGCAGGTGACGGACCCCCGAACAAAAAGTGCACCTTTAAATTATGGTTTCTGTTTTGTTGTGAAATCAGTATAGACTAATAATACTAATGTTTAACTTTTTATCCTGTGACAGCTGAAGTAAAAACTGAAAAGCCCCCCCCACCACCATTGTTCTCCAGTCTAAAAAAGAAGTAGAACAGAATCCAATTTGAGGTCTTATTTTAGCCCTGCCAGTAAAATTATCTTTAAGAGACAAATGACTTTCTGTATCACGGGCCTTGCATTTTTAATGAGCTGAGTAACTTGTGAAGCCTCCAGGCCACTGTTCATTAATTAAAGTTTCTGACCTCTACCATTTCACAGTGTTGAACAGACAAGCCATGGAGAAGAGCTGTGCCCCCCAAACTGAGAATGATACAACCCACTGTGACAATTAAATCATTCATTACAATTAATCATGGCACAGAAATGATGGTTTAACATGTTACTTCTTTATCAACAAATTTCAGAACATGAACCCAACCTATTAAGTGAGAGCTACTTACTGTATGTAGATTAGCTACAATTTAAAATGGATGAATGTCTGCTAGTTTGCTTCTCTGTGAAAAAAAAAGGCACACATTTTTTGCCTCAGTTCAGTAATCACCAGTTAAATTAACATATAATTTAAGAGTCATTTGCAACTAGCTATTATTTGCTAAAAAAAAACTTGATTTTTATTTTATTATTATTTCTTTTTATGTTCCTTCAGGATCAATAAAATATTTATCTATGTTTTATAACATTTCGTAGCTAATCCAAGTTTATCCATTAAAATTATGTTATTACGTTCCACTTCACTTTTGCCTAGTTACCTAGTCTAATTTAGAATGTATTTGTTTGCACACATTTACAAGGTCTATAAAACCTGTCTATGTTTTCAGGCACCCCTTGAGCTTTGTGTCTGCTGTACTGTCCCCCTCACTGGCCTGTCTGGAGTCTTTGATGGCTGATGTGGCCAGTCTGTACCAGAGCACAGTGTATGTGCTACAAACGCTCCACAGGGCAATGAGCTTCAGGTGACATTATAAAATATGCTCTTTGAGAAAGATCTCAGTGAGGGGCGCTTTATCTGCTCAGCATGGGCCCTTGGTTATTAAAGCAGGTATCAGAACAGAGGCCAGACTGACCTCTGAGGATTCAATTACATAAGCTCTTTCCATTAAAACACCCGGCATGGGTCACAACAATGTATAAGAAGAGTATGACTGCAATAGCTTCCAGTTGCTTAAAGTACATATGACAGGTTTCTGTGCCAAGATGTTGGTAAATTAGTATGCTTTATGTTTGGATGATTTACCAAAAAAGTACACAGATTAGGTAGTAATAACATAATAATTAGAAGGGTTTATGGCAATTTACACTTTGAGCTCTGTATTAAATGTAGTCAAATGTGTGTTTATTTAGTAAATGTGGGACAGTACAGTGCACATTAATTAACAAGTGTTATTACAACATGTAAATGTGCCAGAGTTAGCCACGCAGGCTAATTTTCATCCGTACTGCCATTGGCAAATACACTGTCTGACATCTTGCTATAACACAATGACGCGAGAACATATGAATAGAACAAATCTTGTGCAAAAAGTTTTTATGAAATTATAGCTTTAGTCTGTCAAAATTAAACATTACTGGAACTTAAACTATTATACTTTACAATTTACAATTTGGTTATTACATTGTATTTTGTGAGGATGCCCTGCATGTCACAACCTGGCACCCAAAGGATTCTGGGGAAATCTTAATCTCCCACTCAACCCAGGACGCCCTGTTACTCATCATGCAGATTGTTCATTACCATCTAAGGCAAACATGTTGTTGTCATGCTAAAGTGTTTGGAGATTTCCTCACAGTGTGAATCAAGCTTGCAAGGGGGGTTTACATTGGTACAAAAAAACTTGAATTAAAATGTTGCCAGAACCTACATCCAGTGGTAAGACGGGCAGATGTTGTATCAGCCAACTTTTTTTACACAGTTCAGGATGGGACTGGCACAGTATTATTGACTGTAATTACTTGCCCATAAATATTTAAAGAACTAAATCCCTTACAATGTATTTTAATGTAGCATAAGATATTGTTTAAGACAGATCAACATACTTTAAACCTGCTATTTAGTGCCTAAATTAATTGTCATTTACTTCTAAATGGTAAAAAGTTGCTTATTTGTTTGTTTACAGATAACAGATAAGCTTACTACTGCACACAAAATAGTATTACCAATCATGTACAAAACACCAAAAAGCCAAGAAGCATTTACAGTAAATGCTTAGACTCTGACTGTTATCATGACTTCCTTTTTCCATTGGGCTCCCTTCTAAAAGGTTTATCCAAATACCCTTTTAATTCTCCTGCATTAATATTTACTTTAGTCCAGACAGCAAAGGTTAGACAGGTTCACGCTGCTTCTCTATTCAAATCTGCTTATAATTTATCCCAAGATGATGAGGCGAGGTGAGAATGATCGTTTCCGTGGTAACCATGCTGCTGGCCTGACTATTATCATACTCAAGCGCCTGTCAACACAGCTTCTAAGTTATGGTCTGTGAGGGAGTAAGGGGGCAAACAGATTAAAACTGCATATTAAAGCGCACTCCTGGTGTTTGGACTACTGTTATTCACTAGGCTCACTGGCTCTAATGCACAAAGGTTAGAGTAAACAGCCCTCCCGTGCATTTAGCAGTGATGGGTTTGTGCTAGTCAAAAACAGCGGGCTTTACTTTGCACCACATGAATGACCTGTTACCTGGGCAACTAATCAAGATGAAAGAGAGATGTTAAGAGGAAGAGAGAGATGGGATTTTAAAAAGTGCTGACAGAAAGCTCCTTACATCTTCCAGTCGGCAGCTTAGACCCATACGTGTGAGTGCATATTGTACCTTCAGCATCGCATGTGTTGACACTGAGCTAAAGCAAACCGGACTGTTTAATGGGTAGATAGATATATTTGCACTACATCCGAATGCATAGTAGATGAGTTATAAAGGGGTAATATAAGGTTGGCCTATCCTGGATACCACTATACTTCACTGAGTAGATCTTAGCACTGCAAACAGACAGGGATGTGAGCAGTACAACGCCTAAACCATTTCTGACGGATGACGAGACAAGTGGCTCTCAAACTGTGTAGCTAAGAACACACCTGTAGTTGTACTCAAGTCAAACTTTGGTCTTGGATTAGCTCAGGTTTAGATAAAGACTGAGATTGGGTTAAGTTCTGGTTTTGCCCTCTTTATATACACCCTGATTTAATTAAAAATTGTAGTCCTTTTTTGATCTGGTACAAGAAAATGGTACTCATGGTTTAGTTTTATTCTGTTGTGGTAATTTAATCCTGGTGTAGCTCTTATTTTTTAACATAAGAAATATATATTACTATGGATGCACAGATACCAATACTGGTATCAAATATCAGTGCTGATACTGAAACATTTGCTAGATCGGGTAGCAGTTACATGATACATATTAAGCCGATATCCTGGTTGGACCTTTAATTGGATGTAATAAAACTACTTTGGACTATTATGAACTTTTATTCATACAAAACTGTAATTTTAAGGATAAACAGTTGCATAATGCAATTGCATCTCTTGTGTAATAAGTGAAAAGAAGTGCAATTTTTGTCCCTACACTGGTATCTGTTCAGGTATTGGCAGATACTTGAAGTCCAAGTATCTGTATTGGAACTGAAAAAAGCTGGATCAGTGATTACTGATTTGTCTAAAATTTTGCAAAATCAGTGGATCATATAATGTTTATAAAATGCAACATAATATATATAATAACATAGTAATTAATAATTCCCCTGATAAATTAAAGCACTTCTTTGTATAGAAATATATTTGTCATATTTAATGTAGTGTGTATTTACTATAAGTGGATGATGTGTGGATGTTTATACTGTAGCTGTCATGAAGAAATCAGGGATTGTCATATAGGAAATGTTTTCAATCACCAGACTTCAATAACACCACTCAAATCACTTTCAGTTTGTATGGACACAGATGACACACAATCTTTGTTATTGACAATGAATGTGCTGAAAGTGAGTTGAATGCATCTCAGGTAAGGCGTTTGGGCTGAAGAGGACAAGGAAACGGTTTGGACACACTGATAGAATAGCAGCTAAGTGACACTCAAAAATATGAGGAGATAGAACACTTAAATATAAAAATAAACACTAAATTAACAGAGGAGCAGCATAACACAAAACACTTATTCATCAACTTCAGCACAAAAAAAACATGCAATATCCTTAGTCTCTTTAGTCTCAAATTACATGCCCTTCTTGATAATGGCCCTCATACTCCTGCCATGTGCTTTTCTTATGTAAGATGTGTTTCAGACTGTACCCAGGCACGGCCCTAATCACTTAAGAGGATCTATAGTTTTTTAACATATTGTCTCTGCTGTGGCCAGGAGAGCTTTTAGTCTAAAACGTATAAACTGTAAAATCTGTATTAAGCATTATGGGATCATAAGACATCCATCAGGCACTCCCAATTTGTTCTTGAATTTGCTCTTGACACACTTTTTATATCTGCTATAGCTCAACTCTCTATAGAAATTAACCCAGAATCTCTAGTGGCTATAAAGTATTGCTGTGTTAAATATAATCACGCAATCAGGTCATAATTATACTGGTCGCCACACGTGCCAGGGGTCTTTGGAGAGAGCCTCTTAACACTGACCTGTCCCACATCAATAACCATTACTGCAGAAAAGTGAAATTATTTCAGTAGTTCACTTCAAAATGTTAAATCCATATGTTAAAGCAGCATGTGTAAAAAATTCCCAAGCATTATTTGTTATCATTACTGTTTTGATGATTAAAACTAATGACGCACTGATCCGATACTGGTATTGGATATCAGCGCTGATACTAAAACATTTGGTGGATCAGATATTGGCTTCCAAATATTGGTTTAGCAGATATCCTGGCTGGACATATAAACTGATGTAATTAGATTGCTTAGTAGTTGGTACAGAGAGACTCCTAATGTTGGAATTTTAGATAAATAACAGCTCCATAACACATTTATTTTATTTTTGTTGAAAGGAGTTAAATACAGTTTTCAGTCTGAGCACTGTATTGACTGATATTGGGTATTGGCAGATACTTGAAGCTATGGTATCTAAATCAGTGTATTATTCAATGGACAAATACCATTTTTCTGCAAACCAAAATGATCATTACAGGAAAAGAAACAAATATTTTGTCCATAAATTATTTTCACTTTGAAATGAACTACTAAAATAAATGAACTACATTCATTTTCCCACTTGTTTTGGCCTAAATCAAAACCATGCAGCTTGCCCATGTGACTACAGGAAGAGGCATACATACTTTGTCTAAGGGGTCAGTGAATCTCCATATAGTGTAGGATGGGATTGTTAGGACCACTCTTACATCATGAGCAGGTTAAAGGGTCACATAGGGACACTGGAGCTGTTAGCAGGAGTCTAATAGGCTTCCACACATTTTACCTTAGATCAGCCTCTGAGACACTCCTCTGGTGCACTTCCTCTTCTTTCTCCAAATCCTCCTTTTGCTCCTTGACTAAATCTGTGCTATCTGCCAACACTTTTTTACCCTCTGTGCTCTCTTTGCTGCCCCGCTTGCCTTCTTGCCCCCCACCAGTTCCCCCTGCCTCCTCTGCCTCCTCATGCACTTTCTCAAGCTGCTCCTCCCCCTCCCGTGAATGGCTCCTGGATCGCATTTGGCTGATGTTTGCAGACAGAGACAGAGAAAGCAGCCCATGCAAAGCAGAAAGGAATTAAAAAAAAAAAAAAAAGCAACAAGAAAAGTCAAAAAGACAGGAGCAGACAAAAATATAAAGCATCAAAGAAATAGAAGCACATATATGCATTAACAGAAAAGCACCATGCAAATGAAGCTGTATTTGCATTGATTTGATGTGAACAACAAAAAGTACTAATCATGTTTTTTTTTTTAATTATTATTATTATCAAATATGGACCACCTTTCACCACTGTAAAAATAGAGAGTTCAATTATTTGGTTCCATTTTTTTTCTAAGAAGGAGCCAAACTTGAACTCATCAAATCAAGAAAATGACACACTAATCATAGTGTGCATTTTCTTGCATGAAACATAATTTTTATTGTCTCTAGGCCATACGATCAGGTTTAGCATAACAACCATTAGCTAATCAATGGAGATCAATAAATGTATAATGATATGCTAAATACACATGGTCTTAAACATATGTTTTTGCATGCTTCTTGAGGACCTACTTTTCCTGTATATGAACTTTAAAACATGTTGTTGATCTAGTAGTAATAAATTCTGATGTGAGCATGTAAACAGTTTTTGGTCCCCTGAACCTTTTAGTGTATCGACTATCAGCCTTCGATCTCCAAGAGAGGCCAGTATTTAGTTTGGCCCATCAAGCTGTCTAAAGAATATGTATAAAGATTTATTTGAACACTTAACTGTGAAAAGGACACTGCGCAAAATGTGACTACACTTCTCTTTTATCCAATATATAGTAAAAAAAAGGGCTTTAGATGAGTTTGTAGTAAATTTTAATCATATAATTTAGAGAAAATTATCAAAATCAGCCCTATATATCAACCAAAAAACATCAGCAGAGATTATTGGCAACTAGTGTCAGCATCGGTAATGATAAAACCAATATCTGTCGATCTCTAAAACTGACCATTGCAGAATGGAAACAAAAAAGTTATTCAATATACCCTGACAATTTAATCCAAAATTAGCTGTTTGCCTTGCAGTTAGTCTACAAACACCCACTAAATGTGCTATAAATTAAGATTATATGTGTGCTCATTTCACCTGGTAGTAATGCTATTCCTGATCAGGGTATAAAGAAACAAAGGGGCCAGTCTAATGAGAGGTTGTCCATTCTGATACCAGTAAGGCAAGTGCCACTGTGCCCTGCTGGAGGTGGGGCTTACCGGATTTTGCGGTTTCCTTGCGGCCGTTCTGATTGGACAGAGATGTAGCTCGTGCTGCTGAACCGAGAGGCACTACTGGTTCTCGACACAGCGGACACGTCGCTCACATCGCTGTCCGAAGATTTGGCCGACAAGTTATCTGAACCCCGTGGATCTCTGCCTGACCTCTGTGGAGACAAAGGACAAAGTACATATGAATAAAACAATAACTATTATGAACTAATGCAATAAGTGCTCATCACTGGAAAGCAGTATTGCAGGTCCACAAAAATCCACAAAAAAGACACTCTTATCTTATTATATACAATTAACAATTTTAACTAGGAGCTAAGGTTACTGTGTTTAAAAAAAAAAAAAAAAAAAAAAAAAAAGAGTCCTAGTTTAAGCCCAGTGTAGTATTGATCTAGACTTCTTTGGTCCTACTCTAGCAGTGGTTGTGTCTTTTATTTCCAGTTTAGTTCAATTTCTGATGTGCCCAACTAGATTAAAGGTGTAATATGTAACTTTTTGGTTGTTCTGCTTGTTTCAATGAATAAGTCACTGCTCTGTCTGGAATGTTCCACAGTATCACTTTAAACAGCTCTTCCTTGCATTTATTCAGTTACAGGTGGTTTCATTGCTCAAAAATAGGCATTTTGAGTAGGGGTGCCTCTCCACACATTTGACCTATAACTTGGTTTGGTTTGGTTTCCATGAAGATAAAAAGGTGAACTGTGGTACTGTATTCCAGACAAATCAATGACATCTTCATTAAGAAAATAATTTGACTAACCCTCTAACTGAAAAGTTACACAATGAACCTTTAATAAAGACAGAAACTAATTAAAAACAGACTGCTAACTTTAATTTCAGGGCTTTGATAAACATTCTAAGAGAGAAATTGGTTAATACATAAAGTGGATAATAATGAGCGATTTGTGAGATTGTAAAACATTGTTGTTATAATAAAATAACAGGTAATAGATATGGGCTCCAAGAAGGTGCAAGCTGAAAATTATTGTTCTACAGAATCTTGGTAAATAGTTTAAATTTACATAAAAATTGACATTAAAATCTATGTTCATTTTATGTGGTGTGTGTATGTTTTCTAGGAAGTTTGCTGTTTAATATCAGACAACTTGGACAAGAGTTGGTTGTCTAAACTTATAAGTGACAACCCAGCTTGTGTTTATGTGTCTTACTAAATATTTTTGTTGTATTTTTGTCGACAACTCCAATGAGAAAAAGCAGGCACAAGAGGGACACCTCCTAATTTAATGTTCTTTTTATTAGTTACAAAGAATTACATAAGGAGGTGTCAACACAACAGTTGTGATACTACAGACTTACAAGGGCTGAAGTTAAAACTCTTTTCCTGTTCTGCAGAAGTCAAACTGAGGCCAAGCTAAACACCACTTGCTAACTTTCAGTGTCGCACTGCTTAACTCAATAGTGTCAATTTGACTGTTTAGGATCCTGTGTAAAGAATGTCATGGTATATATTATAAATTATACCAAGATACAATAAAGTGTAATATCTATTGACAAAACATATTAAAATATGTGAAAAGCACCAAATATAATATGAAGTTATAATATTAATAATTAGTGCTGTCATGCGATTAAAAAAATTGAGAGATTAATTAATTATGATCTGTAATTAATTAATCTAATTAATCTCATTTTAATCTCACCTAAAAATTGCTGAGAAAAGCCTTCAATTTGAGGTATTTTCATTTAAATTCATTATTACATTATTGTGGCAGATCAAAAGACTGATATAGATTTTAAAAAGTGACTTTATAAAGTCATTTATTGTTTAACAAATCTCTCCAAAGTCTCCATGAATAAGAAACTGTTTGCTGTAAAGTAGCAAAGACGAGGAAATCTGAACATAATAACTTTTGTCTACTTAAAGACAATAAAAAGTCCAGTCTTTCCTTAACCATATTAAAAATATTATTGATAGAGAAATGCTTTATATATGAGATCACTGGTTTTAGTCCTTGTTTTAGTCCTGGTTTAGACCTGCTTTAGTCCTACTTTAGTCCTAGTTTAGTCCTGGAATGGATTAATCCTGGTTTTAGTCCTGGTGTTAGTTCTGGTTTGGTCCTGGTTTAGTCCTGGTTTAGACCTGGTTTTAGTTCTGGTTTTAGTTCTGGTTTAGTCCTGGTTTAGACCTGGTTTTAGTTCTAGTTTTAGTTCTGGTTTAGTCCTGGACTGGATAAGTCCTGGTTTTAGTCTTGGTGTTAGTTCTGGTTTAGAGGCGCACAGGAGGAAGCGCGGTTTACGCCGCGTACGCGAGAAAACACGATCCACACGCGGCTCACGGGAGCACGTCAGTGTCCGCGCAGTAACTACGGAAGGAAACGTGGTCCGCGCGTTCTCAGGTTAATGACGATGATGAAGGTGTGTGTTTGTTTGTGTGTGTTTGTGTGCGTGTCCCCTCGTGTCGCAGGTCACTATAGGACAGTAGTGCAGACATCATGAGCCTATGCAGGTTGTTTTCACCAGTGACATTTAAGTTGTAGGCGATATTATATTAGTTATTTTCTTTTATATTTCACGTCGGGAGAATAATTTCCAAGACACGAATGTGTTTTTACCTGTGCACTGCTGACTCTGTTCTACTGGCTCTACGACCTCGTCCACTGTGCCTGACGCCGCCAACTTTAACATGACGTTCACATCGCTCTTACTGCGCGCGTTTTGTGTGGGTTTCCGGCAATGAGAGGAATTACCGAAATAAAAAAATGTATAAATGTGGTTTTTGTGTGTGTGTGTGTGTTATTGTCCCAACAACACATAAAAACAGGTTTTATAATAAAGCAACTTTAATTAAAAAACATAACGCGCTAAATATGACTGTAATTAATTAATCGCAATTAACGCGATAATTTGACACCCCTATTAATAATATTAACCAATGTTAATCATGGCTGTTATTGGTTAACTCATCTGATAGAATGTAGGGACCATGTACTACTGCAACTACTTCTAAGTAATATCTGATGACCAACAACTATTCTATAATTGAAGGATATCTAGACCTCTGGGCAGCAGAGGGTATGTCAGAGGCAAATATCTGGATGTGTTTGAGTGGTGCGTAATGGTGCATGTCACCAGTACAGCTCAACCTAATAGGTGAACAGCTCAGACATGTTTTGTTGTTGCTACAGAATGTCACAGTGAGAGAAAGTGGCCAGTTTTACCTTGTGATAATCTTGCTCCAGCCGTGAGTCAGAGCCAGCTCCCTGTTTGTACTTGTTCATCTTCATTTTCATCTGCCTGGTGCGCTCCTCCATGTCCAAACCTAGGAGCAGAGAGGGCACAGTTAGACCAAAGGGGCAAAGATCTCTGAAGGGAGGCCTGGTGTAAGGATCAAAGGGTTATGAGAGACAAGCATCAGCTGACCATGGGCCATGAGCTATGACAGGGACACACCGCATGGAGAAGCCAAGGACCAACCAAAACAGACAAAACAGCAATAAAGCACTACACATGCCTCTAACAAGAACTATTTTCCGTGAAACTAATATAGACTAAGATGGCTCATTGTCAGACATCTTGAAGTGAATTGTTCAGTAAATTAAGAAAAAATATATACTAAAGTCAGTAATGTCGGGTAGTTGTCACAAAAGTAAAATTTCAGACTCAGTTTCAATATGAAGGAATAGGCTTGATACCGATGATAATGATCATTTTAAAAATGAAATGCACTATACAATAGACTGCCACTTTGAACACAAAAACTACTATCTTTATCTTACCATGTGGTTTTATAATAGTTCTGATAAGGTTCAAGAATTATTTTAAAACTGCTCAGCAAAAGCCATTGATACTTACTTAAATTAGTGTATACTGTATATGTATCTGATTTTCAATGTCAAGTCATGATTAAATAAATGGACAAACTTAATTTAGTTGCACACAAAAAAGATAAGATTAAAAACTGAAACAGAAATTGAGAGTCAATTAAAAATTCGAGTCAAACATGCAGCCCAAACGGATGCCATAGATATCAGTAACAGATCAGCCCAAACACAACTGGATTTCTCAGTGCACAGTAGCTCTTATTTCTCCACCAGCTCTCTGTCTCTACTTTTGTGTCAAATGATGGCAATGGAAAAGTGAAGTGAGCTTTCACAATATGTGCAAGTGCCATGCTACAAAGAGTGAATCAGTGTCACAGAGACACGTTGAAATAAAAAGCAATGGAGCAATGACCAAAGAGCAATTCAAAGCACAGCAGACAGAACAAACTCCATTTACTCCAATTAGACATATTAGAGATTAGGGTTCAACTGGGCTATAGGGTCATTTGGTTTGGTCATTAACATTTTTGATGTTTAGTTTAAAGTTGGCAGATACATTCTCACCACTAGAAAATCTGAAGCCCAGCTAGTCCTTCCACATAAACCAAAAGAGCAAAATAAAAAAGCTTTAAACGTCTGGTTCATGTGTACAAAAATAAAGAAGCAAACCTTAAAATCAAGACTGGCAAATTAAAGCTGAGTGAGATGAAGAGGCTGTGGGGGGTACAAACAGAGAGGAGGAGGGGGCAGGAGGGAGAGAAGTAGGGACAGACCTGAGCTGGTCCAACCTGGTGAGTCCGTGTCTTCTGGAGTCACATCACAGATGGACAGACACAGACAGAGGAGAGGGAGATGGATGAGAGAGGACGCACACAGGAGGGGGCACGCGGGGGACAAGAGGGGCACCATCACATGACCATCCAGAGGGGTCAAAGGTCAGGATGACAGAGATGAGAGGGGACACAATACAAGAAGAACACGACACAACAATGGACAAAACAACACACAACAAACACAGAACACACAAAGAAATCATAGATACACCAAAACACAAAATTTCACCATGGGCACAGAAGGAAAAGCTGGGAGAGGCTGAGGTAGGGGCTACAAGAGTTTAGTTATCAGAGAATTAGAGAGAAGAGGGAGGACTGGTGGGTGAGGTTCTGTGCTTTTAAAGAAAATAGAGCTGAAATAGTAAAGAGATGTTAATGCGCCAGAGCTGGCCACCCAGAGAGAGACTGGAGTCCTTGGAGGTAGAAGGGTAGGGAAGAGGGGTGGGGTTAGAGAAGTGAACTTGAATCTGCATGGGGCAAAGTCTGTGGGAAACCAGGCCTGAAAAAAAATAAAGTAATAAGAAAAAAAGCTATAATAAAAAAAAGTAACAAAACAACACAAACTGAAAGCACAGAGCAGCAAGCACACAAAAGAGAGAGCCAGCTACACCTCGAGAGAATCCAAACTGCTGAACAAAGTAAACTCTATATAGTGTAGGAAAGAGCTTTGCATAGAGCTTCTATAGTGTGTTGAGGTCATATTGACGCACATGTAACCATAACTTATGATAGGTCCTGTTACAACAGCACAGTTTCACTTTTCAACAACAAATGTGTCTGAAATAAAATGACAAAAGTATCACAATTCAGAGTAACGTACAACAAAAAATACTGGACTATTACAAACTTCCACTATGGTTGTTTTGCCCTAGTATATGTTCCTGTAAAAAGTGCAAATGCAAATACATGTGGTGGGTGATAAAAACACTGGAGTCACATTTAATTTCCATCCCATCTCAAGCTCATTTGCATTAGCATAAACAATGAGGTGTCAGACTGCCATGTGGGCCAGTGTGTGGAGATGAAAGCTACTTGTAATCAGTTAACAATTTCCTGTAACATATCCCCTTTATATGAATGTGTGCCTACGAATAGTGGTGAAGGTATTATTGTAAATCACATAATATTCAAACACAGTAAACCACACAAGAGAAAACAGAAAACCAGGACACCATCCAGAGGCCGACTTGAGTAACTGTCAAATGACTTGCAGTAGTCTTTGCGTAATATAGGTCCAAGAACAAAACTACTTCACAGCTTGGGTGCATATTCAGGACTCAGGGCCCTGTTATCCTTATAAAAAAGCAGCTGTCCCCAAGCAACAGCAAACTAATTTATAAGAAATTAAAATGTCATTGCATGTTTAGCCTGGTATTTCGGTAAAAATAAAGTTTCAAAAGTCAGAGATCCACACCAAACCACCAACCTGCATCATTCAGAGAAGGGACTGGCTGTGCCCCTCCATCAGACATTGACCCATTCAGGCCTTTCTGCTGGTCCTCCCAGGTCACCTCTACAGTGAAATACATGTACACCAAATATTGGGACTGGACAGCAGTGGTATATAACACTTATCTATAATAAAACACAATGCAGCCATCTCCACAGTATTCATCATTTTTGCAACTGGTGCTTAGCTGTTGAGAACTGTTTGAAAAACACACTTCAGCACTAGCAACATGAACAGCTCCTGTTAAACAACTGTAGACTCAGTGCCATCTGCTGGACATGCTGGGTAACTACAATTCAGTTTATAACATCATCAAAATTCAAACTGTCAACATTTGCAGGGTTTTAATAATCATGTAATTGCTTCACATAGTCTGAATATATTTAAGATATCTGGGAATGTATGTAGTATTTGTTTTTTGTTTTTTTGTGGATTTGTCCAGAATTGATTTACAATAAAGTCAATGAGAAATTAATAATCACAAAATAAAGACACATATATGAACAGTACCACTTGCTACTTAAAACCACATATAAGCCAACACTGCAAAACACACATCTGAAACTAGCTCATCTCAATAATGGTCCACACAATGCAAACTCACAGCAAACTTACACCCCACACTGGACTTGCCTTTCCGACCATTTACCGGCGGAGCTTGGGGTTTCTCCTCTGGCTCTGGCACTACAGCTTTTCAAAAAAGAAGACTCCTTTAAATCACACCATTCACAAACGTACACTCATCATTGCACTTCTTCTTGCACAATGATTGATATGTAATTGACATAGCAGTTACAGGTTGTCAAGGTCAAGTTGTAACTAACACAAGTTAGTTAGTACACTGTGCAGTGTACAATCAAAATTATAATGCATGTAAGATTTAGGCCTTGAACTGTGATATGTAGATTAAGTACATATAGACAATGCTTGATAATATTTAAACTTATTTATATCAGTGACATGATAACAAAGCAGATTTAAACCACAAAAACTATTCTAAATGTTCAATATTTTTAAAAAACATGAGCTGCAATGAATATACAGCTATTAATTCAAACATTTACATCTTAAATCTCACCATATAGCCAAAAAATAACCAAAACTTTCTGAGTAGTGCAAAGAAAATGTGCAGATGATAAATACCAACCCCCAAAATATATTGTTCCAACTTATAATAGCTTAATATAGTATTACTGTGACAGACCTAGTGAAATTTTACAATATGTTATACTCCTAACAAAAAGAGCTTCATGTTGTTATCTCTTTTAAACATTAACTAGTGTATTAAAAGTGCATACACATTTTCTAAACTGCATCTCGCATATTTAAAATTCATTATGGGGGTCTTTTAAAGTGATGAAATGGTTGCATTTAGGCACAAAAGAGAGAGAATACAACCACCCTAGAACATAATCAGCATGATATAGAGTGGATCTATAGTCGATAAACAGCTAAGCATACACTGGAGTCTCTCACACATTTGCATTGCATAAGTCCAGTGTTGCGTGGCTCTATGGGAGCTACAGCACAAGGTTAGATCAATACCTCCCCCCACTGCCCACACACTGCCACCAACAAGCTTCTCAGAAAACAGGAAAGGAGAGAGACAGGAAAGTGACCAGATACACAGGCAATGGAATAAGGAGAAAATGCAAAGTGGTAGTCAAGGAAAGGTAACACAACTAGTGAGAAGACATAACCAACTAGTTATTATTCAGAATAGTGTATGACCTAAATGCGGCTTATATATGGCTTCAGTTGTTTTAAGACTTTTTCATAACCAAGACAGTCACAATTACAATACAGAGCAATGTTTAAAGGAGTGCTGAGGAGCAAAAGAGTAAAAGAAAATATATGTTTTAAGTCCCTAAGTCAGTTTTCGGTTTACATTTTGGAAAGACTCTCAGCAGTCCAAATCAGTCAACAATTATAACCAACTATAACCATCTTACAATGACTACACCTTCAAAAATAGGGACAGAGAGGAACACAGCACTACCACAATCAGCAACAGGCTCGAGACAGGCCTTAAGGAACAGACAACCACAGTGGTACAAGATATTTGGACAATATATGATGATGCATGCTGCAGCGGAGGGCAGTAATGGAGGAAGTAAACTGAAGGTAGCCACCCGCCGTTGCAGACAAGGTTTTAAGCTCCAGAGTGAAAAGAGCCACGGGTAGCACTTTCCAGTCTGAGAAGCCAAACCCACACAGTTCTGAAGTACAGACCTTCACAAGGCTCTATCCCTTCGTCTCCATCTTCTGTTAGACAAATGGGAAAGTAACCGAGCAGAGATGTTATGGATGGTTAAGAAAAAATAATTACTAGTGATACAAAAATAATAAAGCGAATCATATACAGTACTGCGCAAAGATCTTGGAGAGTTTGGTTCTGTTTCTTCCTCACAATGAAAAAAATACTAGCTAAAGGCTCAAGATCCTCCAGTTAAGAGGAATATGCTCTTCCCAGTGAGCCACAAACTGTAAAGAATGCACTAAAACTATTATTTGCAGCTAATTTTGTAACTAAATAGATTTAACTAACATTCCTGGTTCTAAACAATCATAAAGGTTAAAATTACTAAATTCATCCTTGGCCATAATTAATCTTCATATTTTCATGCAAAGAATTTTAACTATTTAATATGTTTCAAAGATTTTTTTGCACAGCACTGTATAGCCAGCCCATGAACTGATTTTTACTGAATGATATCAAGCTTCCCTAATCCATTACAAAGCTGTGTAGCTCCAAAAGAGTCCAAGAGAACCACTATTACCGCAATAGTGCAAGTCATAAAATTGATCAGACTTACTTCTGTCTTTGCCCGACGGTGGAAGTTGCGGAAGTTGCCGACCTCTTCTACTGGACATTGGCGTACCCGTAGGACTGGTCTGGACTGAGCCGCTGCGAGGATGAGCCCTAGATAAACATAAAGCATTTGACAGTAGCATTAGCATAATACAATAGAAAGTGAATGGGGCTTTAGGCTAGCTCATTGCCTTAGTGTAAGTAAAGATACTGTACAGTATATTGGGGAGAAACTGAAATGCTACCTGCGTGGTTACATTTGTGAATGTAAAAGTCTGGCACAGCACCTTTACATCCAGGAATGTAAACACAAAAGTTAGTAATATTTGCAGGGAACTACAACAAAAAAAAACAAAACAAAAAAAAAACACATATACAGCATGATTGTTGGCACATGGCATGGGGGGTACATCGATTACAGGGATCTGAGCTGCAGTCATAAATGTGAATCGCATGTACTGTTGACTCATCAAAAGCTGCAAAGAGAAAAACTTTGATGCAGAACCAGCAGACCAGTGTGACCATGCGATCAGGCTGTCCCCAAAAGGCTTGAACACAAAACACAAAAGAACAGGATGCCATTACAAAATCTACAGCTTCAGTCCATGTTAGTAATGAAACCAAAACAAAATGTATTCCATCACTGCTATACGCACACGTGTATCAGCAGTGTGGTCTAAATCAAAACAACTTAGCACTACCTCTACAGTGTGACATTGTTAAGCCCGGATCATGTGCAAAGAAAACACAGCACGGGAGCTTTTGGGGACGAACATAAAGTGGGTGGAGGAGGGTAGTTGTGAGGGGGAGGTGGTGGATGTTGGGAAGAGGGTGGCGGTGAAGTGGTTTTCTGTTAACTCTCTGAGTTAGTTAGGTGAGTGGGGGCTCTTGGACAGGGGCTTTAGCTTATTAGCTGGATTTTAGCTATGCACATTGCATAAAGGTGCAGCTACAATGAACAGATAAACTTCCAAAACTATTTTGCAAAGAACAAGTAAAAAAACTTTACTAGCTACTAGCTATTGAACGCCAAATGTAATTGGGATATAACTCACCAGCAATGAACTGACAAGCAAAAAAGACTATTTTACTGGTAGTAATTACGCATTACTGGTGTCTGTCAATAAAAAAAAAAGCACACCTTAGTGCAATGATTGCATAGCTAAAATATATGACTGCAATAACAGTGAGTCGTTAGCTTCTCCAGTCGGGTCACACCTCGTCAAGGCAGGTGAGGGAGGAGCAGACCTCCCAGATGGCAGAGACGGCATGGACCTCATGAGCGAAGAGTCGTGGGGGCGTTCAGTGGAGCGTGAGCGGGGCGAGGGCCGCTCTATAGTGGGCCGCTGGTCTGCAGAGCGGGACCTGATGTGATACTCGTGCCTATCCATGGCTCCATGGTTCCTAAAGAGTTTATTGAGAGATAGGCAGGCACTCAGTGGGGCCCTCAAGCTGGGACAGATACTGGCAGGAACGCACCATCAAACAAGGTGCCATCAAACAAGGAATCAGACGTGGCTTTGTATGAACTATGTATTAAGCACAGATGTACTGCAATAGGTGAATGTGTACAACTGCCCCATAGAGTTTTTAGTCTAGGTCCAGTATGTGCAATGGAGTACACCGTAAACTGTCCTAAATACTTCATAATCACAGGCACAGATATCACCTAGCTAGAAAATGCAACTGCAAAAATAGGTATGAAGGTGGTTCTGGCTCTACTGTAAAAGTTGCCTTAGACTGTTCAAACTGAAACTGTGGAGAGGCACTGTATGCTGAGGTGCAAAAGGTGAGTGAGGTGTTAAACACACACACACATTTAGGTAAAAGGGAAACAGTGAAAGGTGTCTTTAAAAATAAGTTGTGAATTAAATTCTGTATTTGGCACAGCTGTGACAGTGAAAATCCTCTAAGCTGCAAGAACAAAGCAGGTTAAACATTCTACACAACAGGGTAATTGACATTGCTATTACACATATTTCACATCATAGAGGGTCAAACATATTTAAACTACACCAAATGTACTGTGTGCACAGCATGAAAATTTGTCCAGCAGAAACACAACATTTCCTTTTACATTTCATATAGTTTACAACCATCACCCAACGTGAACTGAGATGGTGTTTGGGCTATTTCAGTGACACTCTGAGGTGGCACTGTCCAGGGAGATAGATGGCCAGTAAATTTACAAAGACAAGACTGATTAACAAACTGGTACCGGGGTCATGTATATGGGGACATAAAGAAGGATGTCAACAAACAATCAGACTGTGGCCCTTACCACAACGAGCAGCCAACATCTGAAAACAAGTACAAGTGTAGCTCTGGGCCTCTGCACAGAGGCAGTTGTGTCAGGACTCAAGTCTCCTACACAACTTGAGAGCCGTGATGACCCCTCTAAGGACCGATATCAAACAGGATATCACTTCTGTCATCACCAGTAAGCACGGAGAAATCAAAGATGGACGACAGACAATTTGCGGGGACCACAGGATGGCAGATGCACAGATGCCTTAGCAGTGCATGTCAATACCTCTCAAAGTCATAGTCGGAGGAGTAGGCACCCTCAGAGTAGGCTCGGGACATCCTAGTGGAACGCAGTAACCTGACTGCCTCCTCTCTGCAGATAGGGTACACGCGATGGTTGCGGCTGGCAAAAAAAATCACAACTTATTTGGGGAGTTGATGAAGGCGGGGGATCTCAAATTTATTAATGTTACTGATCTACACAACAACTGCAATCTCTGCTGGACAAAACTTCATAGCCACATCTAAACTGTTTTAAATAGGTATGCAGATTTTAGTAGCCCATATATTCTGACATTACAGTTTTACAGTAGGAAAATAAAAAGGATCATGTATGGGTGTGAGGGGTGAAGGGAGTGAAGGCTGCATGCATGAGGAGGTGAAGTTCTACCTGGGGTCCTGCTGAGGATCACCAAGATGCTGAGTATGTCTGGTTCGAGGTAGGGAGAGAAAATGGCTGCGAACACATGGAGGAAGGAGAACATATGGATTTGAGATGGAGCTGAGGGTCAGACAGAGGAGGAGGAGAAAGAAGAAATGGCTGACCAATGAATCAGGGTTAGTGTACAGAGAGCAGGAGAGGACTTGTAGGAAAGTTTGACATGGGCATTTTGAAAAGGCAGATGACATGGCAGAGAGTCATGGTAATGGAAACCTTTACTCCAAGAAAATTCATGAAATACAGATCATTTTGTTTCCTATTGTAAATAGAAATATGTATATGTAGATTCCTGGTCTGTGAGGTTTTTTTTTAGCTTAAAATAAATGCCAGTTACACAGAAATCATGTGATAGCCTTCAACTTAACACTTGCACTTAAGAGCCATCGTGTTTTGCTTTCCTTAAGTAAGCATTAAGGAAAAGCATTTACATATTTGTAGACATGTTGAATTATATGGTTACAAGAAGATGCTAAAACTAAAATTTAATCAAATAGTCTAAAGCACAGTTGCATGTCATGTTCACCTAGTAAACACTCAAGTGTTGTCTTGAGTATACAATACTCAAGATATACACTGTCTGGGACATTTCACTGTGTGTGTTACAAGGCAAGTCTGAGAAACACAAAATATAAAAAATACAATAAAAAGTGAATCCAGCTGAAAGTAGTTAGAATCTGGCACTATTTGAGTTTTGTGTTATGGGTAAGAATGCTGCATCTTATCTCGTAACATTATATAAAGCATGCTAACTACTATACCTTCATTTGTTGGTGGCTACACACTAGTCAGTGGATATTGTTTGCGTGCTAGTTACCTCGATGGTGGAGGGACACTAGGAGAGCGAGAGCGCGCCCTGTTGATGTCTGCCGACCGTGAGCAGTGGTTAGATGACATCACCTGCTCAGGGACAGACAATGTGGAGCTTTGGAAATCTCTGCCATTTGGACGGTAGTCTATGAGGACAATGGAATAGAGTGTTATACTTTTCACTTAAAATGTTCATTTTGTTACATCTATTAAACCTATAATTAATAAATTTGCATTTGAGATGTCTTGATTTGAATAAACACAGATAAAAACAATCTTCATGTATTAAGAATAAACCTGAATGCATACAACACTTCTAGTAGTGTGATATAATGAGTCTATATATCTGGTACAGACTGAGTGAATGTACCCAGAGACAACCATTGGGGGTTTCCCTTTACTGTCGGTGAAGAGCAGGGACTGGCATGGTGAGACAGTGAGAAGGTGACCAGAATATTAAACAGGCTAAAGGAGGATTTCCCCGTGCTATAGTAACATCAGCAACTCTGCACTCTCGTATCCCTTTCCAGCCAATATAGTATTAGACATATAATTATACATATACTCATATCAACAAGCCTGAATGTTTAAAGAACACATATTATGCTATTTTCTGATCTGTTATAATGTTTTTTTCCTCATCACAAACATACCTGGGGCTGTGTTTTGTTTTAATCACACATGTTAAACACACAAATCCTGCATATTTAGGCTCAAGCAGAAAACACTTAGTTCCACCTTGTGATGTCATGTGGTAATACAAGAAGTGTTTTTTTTTTTTAATTCATACACCTTTACTAGAATCATTTGGATAATTTCAGCCCTGGAATTGACAGTCTCTACTGAACTAAAGGTAAAAGGTAGCTGTTAACTTGATAACTACTGCTTCATGACATCACAAGGTGGAACAGAGCATTTTGAGCTCTGGAAATGTAGATAGACTAATAATGCAGGATTACTCAAACGTGTGAATAAAACAAAACACAAGGTAACTTTATAACTATAATATGACTTAAAGCTCACAAGACTCAATTTTGTGTTATATAGGACCTTTATACATGACTGAATAATCATGTGTACCACTATATGGTTAACGTATTTAAAATAAACTCATTTTGGATGAATTCTTGTGTTTATTTTCCTCTGGTAACAGTGTGTCCTTATATGAGAGCAGTGTGGGTGTGCTGTCTGAACCTTGGTGAGTATAAAGGTAGACAGAAGCTAAAACAGCTTCTCCTGAAATGGTTGCAGCATTTCCCTATGTAAAGGTTATAGGCATGTTTAACCTTTTATGATTAATATGCAGATATGAAAGAGGCTGTCACTGTGTTAGACATTTACAATTATGTAAAAGAGCAAAGTGCAAACCTGTTATGACGCCAACCCCATCCTCACAATCATAGTCTGAGATCTCACTGTCACTTATCCTTTGGGATCCTGAGACACGAACAAAGAAAGACGCCAGCAGCAAAGAGAGGGAGAAGAAACAGACAGAACATCAAATTAGTCCCAGTTTCCCTGGCATGTTTCCGTGCCTCCCTTATGAAGATGTCTACAAACTACTAAGAAATAAGTTTGGGATTTTTGTGTAGTTTGTGTCATTAAATTAATCAGTAAATACATATACAAATCATAATGAAATGTAACAATTAAAAAGATTTACTTATTATTAAAATCAATTTGACTTTCATCATTCAAAATCCTCTTTTGCCTATATTATGCTATTTTCTTCTGTTACAATGTTGTTGTGTTTTGTTTCATTTGCACATGTTTAACACACAAACCCTGCATATTCAGGTTGAGTTCTCTCTAACAGAAAATCTGATCCATCTTGTGATGTCATGTGGTAATACAGGAAGTGCTCCACTGTGTTTTTAAACTCATTTAAGCCTTGGAATTGCCAAACTCTACTAAACCAAAAGTAGCTGTTAACTTGAAAACTACTCCTTCATGGCATTTTGAGCTTTGGAGATGTACATAGACAAATAATGCAGGTTACTCAAACATGTGTGAATGAAACAAAACACAACTCAAGAGTATGTTTTTGAGGAGGTAGCAGCATTCATGGCTTAAAGCCCACAAGAGTAAATTTTGTGTAAAATAGGACCTTTAACCTCAATTATGGCTGCTTCCTTATTTAGTGCCATCTACCTGAGACTTGATCAGCTCTTTCACCACCCCTATATTCATTCTTTACAACCAAATCTAAATTAAGGCAATTTTACTATGCCACAAAACTACAAATAAAGTAGGATATGATTTATACAGGGAAAATGTTGTGGTTCACAGTAAATAGCACAAAAGGAAAGACAAATAGTTTAGTTTATAGATATCTGACATTTGGGGTGAGGTTCAAACTTTGCAGGACACTCTATAATGGGGTCCAGGATGATCACATAGTCAAAAGGCTGAGGCACAAATAGGTAAAACACTGTCTCAAACCAACATCCCTGAAGGCTGCATGTCTCTGTAGTCAATGGACTCAAATAATAAAATAAATAAATAAATAGAATTCAACAGAAACATGCATCTTTCAGGGAAGGGCCTCGGGAACAGGAGCACAGAGGTGTGTCTTTGAAGAGGAAAGGAGAACACGCAGTTATTCCATAGAGCTCCTTTACCTGAGTTAAGTGAACCAGAGCCTTTGCCTGTGAAAGCACAAGCAGTATGTTGATGTGGCACCAGTAGCAAATACAGTATGCATGAGCTAAGCTAAATGTGGCTAGTGTTAAAGCAATCACATAGCCATTAGCTCAAGTAGCCTATACGTCAAGCTTCATTTGTCAGTAATTACGGGTTTCTCGTGGTTGGACACTATTCCTGCAACTATGGGCATTTGAAGGGATACACTCCAGACTTTGGACAATGAAGGCTAATAAGATATATAAAGGACAATTTACACTTCAATCAAATTGACCAAATGGATACAGGAGGAGTAGTTAAAGATGCACTGAGCAGCTTTTCTAGTGGCAGGTCCGCCACCTGTTTATTACCATGATTCATTTCTCATTGCTCTACCTGAATGTTGTACAGTCTGGCATTATACTTTCCTATATCCATGGAGGCAAGCTGGCCACCCTCAAGTAAGAATGTATGTTTTATGTGTTTTTGAGCAATAAAAACCCATGTAACTGAATATATATTTGATTAATGCCATACTATGATAAAATGCGGTATAAGTAACCTTAACCAGAAACGTTGTGCAGTGCACCTTTAAGATATACAAGATCTATTTCTGTAGGATATTTTCAGAAAAATGGAAAATGCACTGAGAAGTGATATAGTTTTTTTTTAAAAGCTCATTCTGCATTCTTAGTTTAACTGATTAAATCCTTCCTTTTTGTTATGTCAAATGTAGCTGAAACATGTTAAGGAGATAAACAGCTCTCCTGTCTGAAGTAAAGAAACTACATCTGCTACAACTGTTACGATTATCTATAAACAGACATCTCAACATAATATGAAAAGTACTTTCATGCATTACCATATTTCACATAACCAGTACAGTATAGTAATGACACAAGGACAGGTTTTAGAGTTTGTGGTTGGTGATGGAATGCACATACTTTGTAACCGGCGCGTAGGGCTCTCTCCGTGGAGCTGCCTGCGCTGCGTGTTGGGGGAGGAGCGTGGGAGTGGAATGGAGGACACGTCGTGGGTCTGCAGTTTGTACCAATGTGGCTCATCATCTAAAAGAGCCGTCTCCAGCTCTATGAGAATCTGCAAAAACAGCAAAGACAGCAATGATATCTGCAATGTGACAAATGAGCGGGTTATGTGCATGCCCCAATACACACAATTAAGAAAAGCTTATATATTAATAATAATGCACTTTTATAGTACTTTTACAGACACTGAAAGTCGCTTTACAATTGTATCCATTATTCATTCACTCCCCATTGTAGGTGGTGGTCTATTGTATAACCTGTGAGAATATGTAGATGAAAAATTTAACACATTTATTAATATATCTTGGTGAGTGAGACCTAACACCACAACCATGAGCCTTAAGTGAGTTAAATCAACCCCTTCTCACATCTGGAATAAAAGGGTGTTTTAATGGTGTACAACTTCATGGCATGCCTATTTTTTATGTGAGCTCTTGGAAAATGTTGAGTATTTCAAAACTAAAGTATATGAGTAAAATGAAGGTCACATTTGGGACCTAGAAGATTGTTGGCTGAAATCCTTGTGTATCTTAGGCAAGATACCTTAGTATGAATGAGTGTGTGCAGCAGTTTTTAAAAAGCTTATCACCATGAACTGTGAGGAGTAACTGACAATGAAAAGCAACTTTTCATGTATACAGACAATATAATATTATAAAATAAAAATGAATACATGTAAATGTACAAATAATAAAATTCTTCTTTTTTTGTTCCACTGCTACACAAATGTGCAGAATTTATTGGGATGTATAAAGCTTGCCTTACCTCTCCTAGAAATTCACTCTCCTCCTCCCTCACCCTGGCTTGGTCCCACAACGTAATTTCCAACATGCGTTCCCGAAATTCCCGTCGATGGACCGGAGAATACATGAAGGTTTGGTTCCATTTGGGCTCTAAGGATTTCTTTACTGTTTTTGTCCTCCTCTTGCTTTTGTCACTGGAGGAACAATAATTCAAACTGTTTTTATTTACAATCATGACAGAGAAGAGCCACGAATACACCACAAAACAGAACAGCACAGCACTGTGGCATGCAAGGGAAAGAAGGTGAGACAATTAAACAATTAAATTTTTTCATTTATAACGAGTCTATATATTTTGCCTGAAATATTCTACTTGCCAAAAGGTTCCCTTGTAAATATAATCTTTGCAAAAAAAGTCATAAAAGCTTAAGGTGGAAAGTATAGCAAGGGCTAGAAAAGTATATGTTGTATTGTTACTCAAGTATAAGTAGAGATTACACTTAATACTGTTACCATAATATTGCTTGAAAAACTGTAAATGTAAGTACTTCTGACACATTTATGAGAAAACAAAATACCTAATATCTAATACTACTTTTCCTATAACTACCACAAGTATTACTGCCACAATTACAACTATTATTTCCACTACTGCTATTGACTGCAGCAGCTCTTGTAGAGGTCTTGTAGAAGTATCTTAGTTGCTCTTATTATACCACAATAACACACATTTATTTTAAACTATAGTGTAGGAGGGAGACAGTGTCTCTATTCCTATGACATCCAGTAACAACTCCTGTTCTTACCTTCTGTCGGGTAGGAAATAGATTTTGACGTAGGGGTTTCTGGGCCGGCCATCTTCCCTGGGGGGTAGGTCTTTGGCGCCCAGGATGGTGACGATGAGCTGATGGCCCACTTTGTCATACCACAATTTGACCTGTAGGGGCAGAGCAGAGGCCGCCTGCTAATAAATTGTTGGTTGTGAAAGTAGTCAATAATAATTACAAACAGACCTTTAAAGTTTTTGTAATGTTCTTAACTTTTAGTCTTTTCCTCAAGAATGTATAATATAATCATCTCATATTTTTCACAGGATGTGGAAAGTCAGTCAATTAAAAAGTGAAATACAGAATAAATATTTCTGTGAATAATTAGGAAAAGGGAATCTCAGTCAAAAATGTATCGCTGCCAACTAGGTATAAATAAATTTCAGCTATATTAAGTTCCACAGTAAAAGAGTACAGTAGAAATCTGACAATTCTGCTTTTTATAACATCGTATAGTCTTGGGAAATAAAATCAAGATAGATAAATTCAAGAAGGTAATACAGCTGAAATATAGTTTATTTTTACTCAGGTGACAGCAGTTAGCTTCCGCAGTTGTAAATAACAGGTACTTTCAGCTAATTTGACAGAACTAATACAGATGATGTGTCTCAAATAGCTCACAGTTATGGTAGTTAATGAGCCTGTTATGCATCAATCAGCCATGCTGCCAAACCACGCAAGAGAAGTATGGACTCTGAGGAAGACACTTAGAAGAAATCTGTTTAAACAGAATGTGTAAAAGGGTAAAACTTCTAAGTTACCATCCATACTTCTTTAAAACAAAAATGAAATGAAACGTCTGGACTAAAACTACAGCTGCACATGCAGGAGAGCATTCAAGACAATCCAAAGTATTGATTTAGGCCAGAAGGCAGAGAAGGCTCAGCAGGAAACAAATTGTACCGGTTTATGGCTCTGGGTTTATCCCACATTTACACCACACACAGTTAGAGAGGGATAATGTAGAATATGTGAGGCTATCCACACAAACTACTGCTACAAAATTGGTTAATGCCAATTGATACCAAAAAGCAATCAACACCATTTTGTTTGACTTTCACATTTGTATAGAGTAGACACCGTTGACAATGATATTTGAAAATATAATTACTGTTTTACTATATATCTGTTTTTCAAACATTCATAAGTAGGCCAATTCAACTTGAATCTATAATTATAGTTAAATTGGACAATGCTTACTAGGTATTCTAATCATGATGCAGCTACCTAGTCTGGGTTATTATGTTTTTATATTTGGGCCTCTGTCCAAACTATGTTTCAGAATAAGACATATGTTATTCATGAGTTGAAGTTATAATGAGGAGACTATACAAAGCACTAGCAAAGTCCAACAGGAGAAAAGGTATAACAATAATATAAAAACTATACTTGGCAGGTACAATTTGCTTATTGTCAGTTGATACTGTATTTGCATTTATAACTACAACTATTATTAGCATTTATACTAATATGAAAGTATTTATTTAGTAGTATTTATGAGTAAATGTTAAAATAATTTTCACTGCGAAATGAAACCATAAGGCCAATATACATATGTATGTAACTGTATCAGTGGTGCTGATTGGACTGAAACAGACCTGGGTTCACATCGCACTGAAAACACAGCTCACTCTGTTTTCACATTAACAGACAAAATCAGAGATTCCCACATCAGTTGCAAAAACATGCACATTTTGTCTAATAATGAGGGTTAGATTAGTAAATATTACAATATTTTAAAAGCCATAAACAGATATGACAAAATGCACTACCATGAGGGAAATTTGAAGCTGCAATTTCCCTGAAATGCATTTTAAAGATATGAGAAAATAAAAGGCCAGTCCACAGTCAATGAGCAAAGACCAAATAGAGAGTGTGCCCTGTAGACAGGGCCCATTACCTGGACCCTAGGGGCAAAAGGCGGTGTTCTTCTACTAAGGCTTTGGCTCTGGATAAGCAAAATTAAACAGCAAATATGCAATAAAACCAAAAATCACAAAACAAAACAAAAATCACAATACAATATAAACACAACAACACAACTATACACTTTTAGATGAGACAGTAAAGCCAGACATTTCCTATTTAGACTTTCTGTATGTTATCCATAACTCTTTCCTGTATATGCAATTGTACCTTAATTTAGAAACAATCAAAACTTTACAGCCGTTATATCCAAAGTTTCTTATGGATAACAAGTCTATTGTCCAGACCCTGACAGTGGGACGATTCTATACTAGAGAATGGACAACACACACATTGATCTGATTGAATATGCAGCTCTTTCTGGGCTCGTGATACAGAAGTGAATTGAAAGCAAAGACACGCTGTGATTTTTGCCCACATAAGCATGTTGTATTGCTGTGATAGAAAATAAAGGGACTTACTGAGAGCTGTCCTGACAGGTACTGGGGGGCATCCCGCAGCATGCTGGGACTCATGGGGGAGGTGACAGAGATGGACGGCCGATCCATCTTCTGAGACTCAAAAGAACTTGAACCTAGAAAGATATTTCAAATTTACCTTCTTAAGTAGTAACAAAATGCCTCAAAGTTTATTTTTACATAATAATTTGATAAAACATACTTGATTCCAGTTGTGCATGTGTGCTGTCTGGTATCCTTGGAATATCTCTGGAATATGGAAAAAAGCTTGTGAAAAACTGGTTGAAATGATTATCACAACTATATCCATAAAACTAAGTACAGTCAGTAACATCTGAGTAAAAAGATTATGTATGAAGAGACAGCCTAGAGACAATAGAGGACAGTGGTGTGTGAAAGCTCTCACCCTATAGGCCGTGAGACCACAAGCTCCACCTGTGGCTCTGGTTTAGATTCTAAAATTATATTGTAAACTTCTTTAAATGTGGCTCCTTGTAAAAGCTTCCCATTCCACTCCAACACCTGATCACCTGCACAAACATCAGAAATGAACTGTAAATATGAGACAGGTGTGTCAAAGATAACTACTTTCATTTTGTACTGTACTGCACAATTTAGTACATCAGAATTGGCACAATATCTGCACACACATATGTAAGGTATTGTAATAACGCTACAAAAGTGCATTGTAACCAAATACATGTCTGAACAAGGATTTAATTGAGAAATAAGTCAGAAAAAATGCACAGTGATACTATCTCAAGTGTAAGTGTCATTTCAAAAATCAGCATATGTGTTGTATATTACACACTGTCATTGAATAGGGACATAGGATCTCCTACCTGGTCGTAGGTGTCCAACAGTATCTGCTAAGCTTCCTTTCCTCACTTTTGTGATGAAAGCACAAAGCCTACCAGATTCTGTCATTTTTCCACCGACCACCTAAAACAATAAAAACATGTTAACTTTCAGCCTGTGACCTTACTGGCTTTAATACTTCCAAACAGTGGATATAAGTGCGACTGTAACACAATTACTGAGGGGCAGCCCAAACCTAAAATATCTATAGCTGGTTCTGACAGAGGGTGGCCTTATGTTGCACAGTATAGTCCACTCCACACAGCTTACATGGGCATCATACAAATAAAAATCCCTCTTAGTGGCAGCTGAATGCCAACATACAAAGGAGCTTAGGGAGGTCTGCTAAATGAAATGGCTTTATGTAACTGGCAGGAGCTGGAGCTGTGGACTATGCAGGAGCAGAGATGGACAGAGAGGGCGAGGCTCTGATAGACTGACTGGATGTGCTGCTGCTGCTGAGGCTGCACAAATGCACTGAGGCACTAAGCAGACACAAACATGCCATTTCAGAAGCCTCATTCAATCAGTAATGATTTTTCCCCATCTCGCTTCTGTCTTCTCTCCACTCCTTCCCACCACCCCCTCAGTGTCTCAGCTTTTTCAAGTCTGCACCAGCGAGAGGCATCAACATGGGAGGGTCCCTCAAAATAAAGATTCTTTTAGTGTATGTATAAAACATATGACATAGTATTCGCAGAAATAAAGAAGTCTTTTATAAAACCTACACTGAGAACCCAAATACGGTGGGTAGTATATTTAAAAGCTTGTAGAACACATTTTAGAATTTCTTGTTGGTGTCAACTGGTGACAAACTACAACCTTTGTCATTGAGCCTTTGCCACTCAACCAAACACCTCTCAGTAGTAGTTTCTCTTGATTCATTCCTCTTCTGCTCCATCTTATTCTTGGTTACGTGTTCTTTATTAGGCAAATTATATTTATTGAATATCTCCATGTGGCCATGAACCTTACCTTTAGACCAAGCAGAGCTCCTGAGTCTCGAGGCACACTTCCATCTTTCATGCGCTTATTGAGCAAGATCCGCCCTATTAGCCGATCTCCATCTTTGGATGTCTGCCATGTCACCGGGTGCTACAAGGTCAGAGCAACAATACACCTTTTGTTTAGCAGCTTATTCCTCAGAATGGGATCACTACAACTGTCCTAAGTGATGGGACTTTTTAAACAGTTCACACAAACTCTGTCAGTAAGTGTTTCTGAATGATTGATTTTAATTGATGCAGTAATGTACAGTTGGAGTAAAAGAACAGACTAGATTGTGTGTAATTTACAGTTTGTGGGAACCTGCTAGTGTGAGGGGGGAGTGAGCATCATGCAGCGCCCCATGCAGAGTAAAGCAAGCAGCCCCAGCTCTCCTCCTCAGACTAGCTCTTACAGTGAAGTGAGAAACTTCACCACACAAACACATCACCATCACACAGGGCAGTGACGGGAGCAGACAGCAGAGAGGGTTAAAGGTGATCAAAAACCTAAAATGAGGTGCCAGTTAAGGATGGGGTTATGAGAAGGAAGGGACAACAGAGACTAAAGCATCAAACAGACACACAGAGGATGACTTAGAGATGTGGCAGTGAAAGGGAAAAAGAAAAACTCATTTTGGTGAGCAAATAAATCCAATCTTTCCTATTTTAAATGCTTCCAACCATGAAGGTTTTAGCTCAGAGAGAGAGTGGAGAGTTGTACAGGCAGCAGGTTCCTGATGGGTTGGGTGCTGTGGGACAGGGCAGCAGTGACAGGGACGTCCTACACAAGTGTTCCTACAGCTCCAAACAGACCAGCAGAGCAGAACACAACAAACGGAGGACAACGAGCATGCAACTAGGAGAGACCCACATTCCTGTGTCACAGAGGTGGAACTAGTCTTTTACTACTACTGCAGCAAGCAAGTGCTCCAAGGAGGTTTTAGCCAACACCAAACAAGGTGAAGAAAAACAAAACAGAAAAAGAAACAAAGATTGCCCAGAAGATTCCATTTATAAAATGCCAAATAAAATCCAAAGTCAATCATCTGACCTGTTAACACTTAGTGACAGAGCAAACAAAGTCTGAATGTGTAATGAATAATAATATGCAGGCTAGTATTCTCAGTACCTTCTCACTATGGCTATGCTCCTCGTTTAGCGTAGTGCTACTGCACGTATCAACTCCAGAGTCCTTAACCTGTGGCTCACACCAAGACAAGTCCTCTTCAAATGAATGTCCCCCAAAGCGCACCATTTTCTTTTGCCTCTCAGATAAGTTGTGTGTTGGCTCGGACATAAATGCCTGCTCAATAGTTTGTCTTTTTCCCCTTTGACTGTCCCCTACAGGTGTGGGATAAAAACAGAAAGAAAACAGAAAAACAACATGCAAAGGTGTAAATAAACCAACGGAATCATGAAATGACACAGACTGTTGGAAAGAAGAGAGACAGGGACAGGGATGAGGTCAAAGGGCAGGGGTCAAGGCAGGGCTCCACATGTCTCACCAAAGACATTGGGGAGGCCTCGCTGCTATGCCATGACGCATGGTCCCACCAGTGGCCATCCAAATCTCCTGTAAAGTGGACAGGAATACACAGGAGAGGACAGCAAGAGGGCCCAGTGAGGACAAAACAGCAACAAAAGACATCTGACAAGACCAACACAGTTATAGCACAGTGAATTCAGGCTCACACTCACACAGACCTCACGCTGACATGGGCTGTCTGAACAAATAAAGGGTAGGAGTAAATCATTCTGATAAACATTGTAGTATTTATATATGTGGTATAGTAGTTTCTTTTTACAGAAAGTAGCATAGAGGTACAGTTATACCTTTATAGGCCAGAGAGAATGTATTTACTTGAATTACTACTACTACTACTCCTTTAACCTGATACTACTGTTCTCCATTCATCAGCTAAGTGCCCTTCAGATACTTAGTGTAAACATTAGACAGTGTGATGAAACATTATGGACGTCCCCTGACAGGCTGTGCCCTCTACAGCCTCTAACCAACAGCTGACAGCAGTGATTAGCCTATGCGCCTCCAGCCCTGCTCTGCTGCCAGCACACGAGAGCGGGCGGTGTGCAGAGAGCAGGCAGTGTGCAGAGTGAGGTGCTGCTAATGTGACCATCAGTGTCACCAGCACACCCGCAGTTACAGTCAGGAGCAAAGACCCTGTGAAACACTGTCTAAGGATCTGACCTGGAATCTACTAATATGCAACTGTACTGTACAGGACTAACTAACTGTACTTATACTGCAGTTAATTGGGCATATTTGAGCAGAAATTTGAATAGCTTTGCAATGAACATGCAATGAGTATGGCTACTGGTTAACCTACAAGATGTACTTTAGAATCATGGCATACAAACATTTATAAAAATAATATTTTTGTCAAAAGAAAAAAGAAAAGATAAATATATATACTAAATGGATGTTCGGTGATTTTGCTTAGTATTCGATCACTGGAAAATAATTAAAAAGTATTTAACATTATCACCAGGGCTTTACAAATAATCAAAATGTAATGTAATCTTTTATAATGGTCAGTGATTTTTTCATCAAGAGGTACACAGCCAGTCCTCTGCAGCTGAGGAAGAAGTTTGTTGTTTTTGTGTTACATGACAATTATTAAAGAAGCATTTATTTTAAGGAAATTAATATAAGAAAAAAATCTAACTGAGTCCAAAATGCAGTGGAAAAGATATGACTCACTGTTGTGTCATATCCCAAAACCCTAAAAACAACAATAACTTTAATTAATATGGAACTGAACTAGGAATGTATATGTAATAATTGCACACAAAATGTTAAATAAATCTGTCATTATTAATTTGAGATCCAATTAATAACTATCGCTTTCTTCTTTGTTCAACTGAAAAGGACAGATTAAAGCAGTTGGCCCAGTATTCTCCTTCTATTCCCACACATTATGTCCATTATGATGCCAGCTATACGCTGCTCGCCATTGGACTCCTTGTGGCTTTTGGAGAGCGGGAAACTCATCACAGCCATAAATTGTGAGCTTCAGCAGTGTGAGACCAGGCCTGCTGTTCTCTGCGCTCCCAGGCCCCAGTCCCAAAGAGCTGACTCAGGTGGAAGACAGGAGCACACAGGGGCTGAGTTCAACACCAGCAGCCTCTCCATCACTCTGACAGCTCAATAAAAACCTGTGTAAACTATTAATTGGATCATTAATTATTGAAGCTGTTTTTACTACAATTCAAGTGGCGAAAGCAGAAAAGAGGTTGTGTATGTTTAAACACAATCACTAGGCCATGAAGTTGATACAGTCCCAGGTTTTATGCATTTTCATTCAGGGCTTTATTTGGGAATTTGTTCACAGAGCATGTGGTAATAATAGAAGTCTTGTCTAGTTCTTTGCGAGACGTTCAAAAGAGATTTATCATTTTAGTGCTTCATTCATTCACAATTAAGCTATTGTTAGTAGTAGCAGTAGAGATCACATCAACTGCCAAGTTTGGGTCAATAGAGACAGCTATTTGATCAGCTAAGTTGGAACTTTCAAAATTTGTAGACTGAGGTGTTAGAAATAGGTGCATTATGTAACTTCTGTTGGTGAGCCTACCGCCTTCTTGTGTTTAATGCTATGCTGTGTAACATTCAAGGCAAAGCAAAATACATTTCCATGGGGGCAAGCCATAAAATCCATCAGAAAATCCACATAGCGCACCTTTAAATCATGTGCACCTTAATAATAGTACAAATAAAAGTTACAATATTCTCTATTTGTGTTTGAATCCAAATAAAGTTACTTTGTCAAAATACAGAAATGTCAGTTATACATTGCACAGTAAATGTATTATGTTGTAAATGCATGCACAGCCCTATTCCTACATTGTCTGTGACTATATAAAGGCCATCTTGTGAGCTTAACTTAGCTAGGCACCTCCTCCTCTCTGTCTGCTGGGGAGTATTATGAAACTGCACGTCGCTGGATCGATAAGAAGGAAAACACAGGGAGAAGACTGTCCAGATAAATCAGTGTTGAGCTCAAAGTCATGCTCATCACAGCAGTGGTTCTCCAGGGGACTTTATTTGTGCCTAAGTCTAGGTTTAATTCTTCTTTTATCTATTTGTTTTAATGCATATAGAGGTGGCTCACTATTATGTTTTTTCATTATTCCAATAATATTATATATATTCAGGGTATAGAATGTTCTTTTTCTGCACTTCAATTTGTCAGTGTTGAAATTGTTGACTAATACCTCATTAATAAACCTGGGTTGGTCTTAATGTAAGAAGTCTGGAAACACATATTTACTTGTCGAAATATACCAAGATAAGATATATATGGTATACATATAGTATAGGATAATTCTGCATGAAGGAAATGGTCCATCTGACAATGATGCGTTTAACACTGTTACAAGTCAGTGAGGCCAGACTCATACACATATCAACACCATAAATGAGCAAATGCCAAAAATATGCTTTATAGTCAATACTCATGCAGTTTGCTCTCCCTCTTTTCCTGCATAAGCTACAAGACAAAAACAAAACCTTAGACCTTACCTATTTCTATTGTGTTGCTACCTAGAAACCCAGAAACTCCCACATCAATAATGCAGTGCTAGGCCTGCGCTGCTTTCCTTTAGAGGAGAACAGTTACGTAACAGGGCAGGCCAACCCAGTGCCTTCAGATGATTAAATGTTTTAAGTTTAGGACAAGCTCTTTGGTCTATTATCACAGGGGGAAACAATGTCACACTTTGTTCTGTAGAGGCTTTTATTTTCCGTTTTAACAGACGCATCTCTCTTTTGTTTGAGGCTTTGAACATCTGTGAGGCCTGTAATTACACATTTGACAACTAAATCAATTTACCATTACAACTGCTGTCAGTCAACAAGTGACTTCAAATGACTACATGTAAAATGGAGAGCAATTAAACAAGCTTTAATAAATTGAACTTAGTGGGTTTGGGATGATTGATTTTATGTCTTATTTTAGTTATTGTGTGTAAGCATATACACGTCAGTTAATACTGGATGGTGCTAGACCACTATTTAGGCGGTGAACACATTTTTAGCAAAGTTGATTTGAAAGCTACAAAAAAGACCAGCCACACACATGAAACCACAGAAACACTGAAGCAGACATCTTTCAAAACACTGCAGCAGCAAAGAACTGGATTCATGGAAACAAAACATTATACATTTGTGACATGTTAGAGAAATACAATAATTGTTAAAAATATTACTACCATTTAAGTCAAAAATGTTGAAAGACACAGAGAGAATGCAGAAACAGAAATTGGAGGTTGTCATACCTTTCTCGCTGACGGACTCACTCTCAATCTCCACATCCTCACAGCTAGTGTACTCTGGGGTGGTGGCCAGCTCCTCCTCAGAGCTGCTCAGAGACACCTGCCTCATCTTACCACCTTTTTTTGTTTTGTGAGGCTTTGGAGGAGGAGGTCGTACTGACTCGGACTGGTCTGAGCTCAGTGAATCGTTCCTTAACATACTCTCCATCTTCTCCCTCTTGGTTTTTCTGACTGCAGAGCTGGGGTCCAGGTGGTGCCTCCTCATAGGGTCACTCAGGTCCCCTCTCCGCAGGTCCCCAGACCGGTCTCCCAGTATAGGGCTGCGATGAGGGGTGGGGGGGCTGTGACCCCCAAGACCGGGACCCATGGGTCCTGGGGATGAGCGATCCACTGAGTAGGATCGCTGTCCCATCATGGGCGGCCGGCGCTCAGTGAGATGCTGACGGGACAGCCGAATGGGTCCAGGTTCATCTTGTTCTGTGTAGGCCAGTGAAACGTCACTATGGCGACGCTCATGTCTCATCCGCCCCACCTCCGCGTGCATCCTCATTTGCTCCTCATACGGCTGGGGTTTGACAGGGTAACGGGCCAGGTTGGGGTCACTGCGGTAGCGTGTTTGGTACTCCTCCTGCCGCTGCCTCTGCAGCTCGTACTCACTGGGAGGGCCATCTAGGTCCTGGTCCAGAGGGTACTCCTGCGAGTGCCAGCGGGCCGGCCCCCTTCGGTCCCGGTAGCCCATCCGAGCTGCATCCACATCTGGGTACAAGTGTGAGCCCCGCCCGCGCCGAGGGACCCCATCCCCATAGTCGGACGGTGATCTGGGCATGCCGCCGTCCGCCGGGGCATACTGCGAGTGGTCCCCCTCCCTTTGGTCGTATTTTTGGTTTGGATCCCTGGATGCAGATGGGCTTCGTTTTCTGTAATGAATAAAACCAAAACAAAACAAAAAAATGTTACACAAAACCACAAATGAAAATAGTTATGAAAATGTATTATATGTGTGTCATTTTCAGTTAGCAACATGATTCAAATATTACCAGATTACCAGATTGTCGACAGGACAGATAAAGAGACAAACAACCTCAAAACCATTCAAGTGTCCGTCTTCACTCTCTGACTGGAGTATTGTTTGGATGAAGTGTCCCAGCGTACATTGCATATAGTCTACAGTCCTACGCTATCTCCAATAATGTGTGTATTACAGACAAAACAAAGTACATGAAAATTGTGAGAAAACAGATGTTCTTTTGTCAAGAACAAAATAATTTTTTGCTCTTGCTTGCTACATACTCTTCAAAATACTAATGATAAAAAGCTCTGTGAAGCATTTCCTTAATTTTGTAGGTGACAACTTTCTGCTGGAATAAAAAGGGCTCATAAATCACAGCTGTCAGCACTGCTCTGTATCCAGGGTAAAGATCCCTCACTTCTGATTGGCTGATTCTCCGTTTTCTCCCGCCCACTCATGCTCAGTGTTAAAGGAGGTAATGTGAAGCACCATAATGCACAAAATGAGTCACCAGGCTTATGTGAGAGTACCTGATAGTTATACAAGAATACCAAGAAAGAGAACAAAATATTGAACTAAATAATATGTTAAATATCCCAGTCTGGACCATCACGCTTTGGCTGTAGTAAATAATACCTTTTATTACAACAATGCATCACTTTTACTATGAATATTGCTGAATTCTTAGTTCGACATTACAACACAGTGACCTGAGAGCGTATTAGTCCAGATGTTGATGTATTTAATGTGTGCTTTCTTTTTCTGTATCAGCGGGGCTACAAACTAATGTCTCCTATGGGGTTTGTGTGAAAAGCTAGCACTGGGAGCTCAGCACATGCCTGTACAGAAAACTACCACCCAGAAATATTAACAAGCCCTTTATCGACAAGCTCCAGTGCTTTCTGACACATGGATCACATTTCCTGCTTCTATTTAGCCTTGCATGTTCTTCCTGTCCAAACAGTGAAATATCTGCAGCAAGCAAAGCAAGCCATCAACATCTGCATCCTGTTTAGACTATTGTGCTAAAACAGTCCCAGTGTAGAGCAGAGTGATGGTGCAGCACGAAAATTTGCACCGTGCGTTTTCTGCGCCTGCCTCAGCTCCAGTGTTACAGTGTTACAGTAACAGTCTATGCAGATGCTCCTCTCCACTGCTCTGTCAGGACTTGGATGACCTGAGATATGCATCAAAAGTCCAAATGTTGAAAGACAGACTGTAAATAGGTACTAAAAAATTAACAGTGTTTTTAGAGTACAAATACTGGTGTAAGAATATAAAGGATTGGAGCATTTTTTTCTGACAAGCATTACGATTGTGATTAGATGTGTAATTTATATTTTAATAATGTTCAAACTTGACATCCAGAAGGATTGACAAAAAAATTAAGTATGAATTGACAAACTAACAAGAATAACATTTTAGAACATGTTTTATAGATCTAAACTACAGTTTTCATGCAGAAGAAAACTGAGTTATTTGGAGGTTATTTGTGATTTTCTAATTGCATCCATTAAAATTGTGATTTTGATTGTGATTAATCTTTCAGTCCAATTCTACAACTACTAATTACTATGATAATGGTAATGATTAAAATGTTAGTCATTAGCTTGGATTAATTTGAAGGAGACAACTATGAGCCCTAACACAATGGATAAATCTGACCCATATGTTTTTTTTGAGGCAGGGTAAACTGGAGTACCCCAATCCTGCCCAGGAGTAAAACTCCAAACTCTCACACTGCAAGGCAAGATTTAGCCACTGCACCATTTTCTGTCACAGCTGCTAATTCCACTACTACTGTTGTTGTCACTCAATTAAAAGTACATTCAAATAGTCTGTATTCATTGCATTTGGTAAACATACATAAAAATATTTCTCCACACACATATACGTATACACACATACATACACACACACACGCAAAGCTAAAAAGACAAAAAGCAAATGACCCATGTTCAACTGCTGTTCATATGAAACCCTTCTCTGCTGCAGTCTTCAAAGTTCTTGTTGAAATATACTGTATGTTGGGTTCTATTGGCCCCTCTTGGAGGAGAAAACAGTCCTATGATAAAATACCAGACTAGAGACAAATGACAAGCCCCATGCACAACATAAGCCCCTTTTATGGTGTGATACTTGTTAGTGCCAGCAGAGCCACCATCAGTGAATCAGCTCTCAGTCAAACAAACACAAGGAATGTGCTTCACAGTCATGGGGTACAAACAGTCATACTAATTCTTTTCAGCCAAGAATAGAAGTACATGACACAAACACACATTTAAGAACTTCTCAAACTTAAAAACATTTTTTTTTTTTCATATTTTTACATTATGTATGTTTGAGCTTCTCACAGCACCTATAGGCCTGGGATGGGCCACATCCTTTCCTGGTTAATAGCTAATGGCACGAATCAGACACAGTCAAGTTCATTCCAATTTCAAGACAATCATTAATTGAAGTGACTATTTTACCAGTACATGTATTTCTAATGGTGAAGCTGGTGTACCACAACACTATGAGGCTGACACTACAACAGGTCTGGAGACCAGTCTGGGGGATGGGGATCAAACCTCCGAGCAGAAGTAAACAACAATACAAATGGATTTAACACAGTAGCACACCTGCAGCCTTAATACAGAAATCATGTTTGAAAAACCACTGTCCTTATCAAAGGTAGCAATGTATCACATCCAGTACTAGCAAAAATCACAGGATTACACCACTGCTCCACGAGATTAAACGTGTGACCCTAAAAGATTAGAAGTGACCTGACTTGCCTGCTATCATAAAACCTTAATATAGTTATTTTTACCACAGGACATGCGACTAAAACAAAACCAATAAAAGCAGAAGAGTGTTGTGGGGTGGTCTTGAGCAGCCTATATTTGAAAAACAAGCCTCTCTCTGTTACTGCGCTGTGAATGGAGTGCCCTATATGTGCATGAATGTTGTGAGCACCAGTGCTGCATGATAAAAGGTCTGAGAGATGAGGCAGGAAGCCCCGGTGGTTGCAAATCATTAACATTTGATGCGGGTTATGATAAAAAACATTAACGCTGAGCATCAGCAGCACACGGCCCGGTGAGTAATTTACTATATCATGGGAGCACTGGCTGGAGCCTCTCACCCACTAAAAGCCTCCAGCCCCAGACTCTCTGCACAGAGAAGTCACAGGGCTGTCAGTCAACTGTGGAGTCAAGCTAGCATGAACATTGTTTATTTGTGCAATGTTTATGAATGTACTTTGTTATTTTTTCCAAGTCACTTGATCTACAAAGTATTACAGAGTTAAATGATTTCAGTAGTGTTTGTGGATTGAAAATAAGCACAGGCCAACACTACTACTAAATGGTATGTAAAATAATGTGCAAGTCATCACCTGACTCACTTGCTCAGCGTATAGAGGCAATGTATTTTTACTAACGTGCTGATATACCTTTAAACTCAAAATAAATGCCACCAGCTCAAAGATCAATAATTGAAAGTCAATAATGAGGCTCCGGTGAGTGATGGACCCTTCACAGATGTTGCTGGTTTCATGCTCTCAGCTGCTCGAGTCAGCACAACCAAACACTCAACAATCGCTGCAAGAGTTTTACACCCATTTTTACACAAAGGTCAAACACTATAAAAAAAATAACACATCACTACCTTTAAGATACATACAGGCCTTTAAAGGTATAGATAAAGTTGTGGAGCAGTAGATGGAATTAGGGATGCACCAATGCATCTTTTTCAGTTCTGATACCAGTGTCAATACAACTGGCTTTAAGTATCTGCCTATGCCCAATATCAGCAGATATTGGTAAAGAGAGTGATAACAGCATTTATTTCTTTTAAACACAAACAGCATAATGTGTTTGTAAAAATACAAGTTTAATATTAGAGACCAAAAGAGGTTATTGGCTGAACCAATATTTTAAAAACCAATATCCAGGCCATCAAAATATTGAATATTGACACAAATATCCAATACCGATATCATATCAGTGCATCTCTAGACAGAAATAGTGAACGCTAACCATTCACTTAGGAGATGTAGGTCAAATCCCATCTTTGCCTCTCAAGTCCTTGCAAAGTTCTAGAAAATTTTAACTCCATTCTTCAACATAAAAATAAGCAGACATGCTACAGTGCTTTCAGCCCATCACATCTCTGCCAATGTTAAATAAGAAAGCCAAAAGCAGTCAAGGTGAAATGCCGTCCTCCCCCATGAGGATTGTGCCACCTCTAGTGCAGCCCAGGTAATGGAGAGCCAAATGAGAACAAATGACTGGTGCCGCTGTGCACACTTCTCCCACTAATGTCAACCATACATCCTGTACGAGTCCATATCGGAATGAGATAACTGAAGAAAGCAAGACCAGATCAAAGCAAGCTGACTCCATTAAGAATTAAGGCGTTAAACAGCTAGAATCTAAAAACAACACAATGCTATGTAAGACTGACCTGCTTTTTGAACATCCCAGGACAAACTGCAATGATGGACGCGTGATACAGCTTATGACTCTACCACAAAGAATTATGGGAAACCAAATTCAGGCCAAGTTTGGGGATTAACACCAACATCATGTCATTTTTACAACTGGCGGCAGGTCGAGCAGCGTCCCTTTCAAATCTGCAGTACTATAAATATATTTTTATTCTTTGGTATTGCATTTGTTTCTTTTTGAATATGATGAACTATGTTTTCATGCTTTTCTATGTATCCCCAATGGTTGCATTCTAGGACTCATAGAATATTATAGTGATAGGAAATTTTAATCATAATAATGATACTAACACTATATCATGCAAAGATTATCAGTTGTAGGTAGTACATACATATGTATTAGGGTGTGCTAAAATACTGAAATATCAATATGTCATAACAACATTTGGTGATATAGTAATGTTATTGTAGAC